GTATGTGTGTCAGTATATGTATCAAAAACTGACACACATGCAGATACTGACACACATACAGATGTACACACTGGCGGATCCAGAGTCTCATCTCGGGAGGGGCACTCATAGATTATTTAAAGAAACAATCCAGGCACAGTAACCACTACAGCTCTCTGTAGTGGTTATTTTGCCAGGAGTGCCGTGGCGCCCTCCCAGAGTAAATAGTCAAACGGTTTAAAAACAGTTTGACAATTTACTTGGGGTCTGCCAGGATAGGGGCTGTAGTAGGGGATAGAGCCTCTAGTAGTGTGTGTGTGTGTGTGAGAGTAGGCAGTGTGTGTGTGTGTGTGTGTGTGTGTGTGTGTGTGTGTATGGGAGGCACTGAGTGTGTGAAGGATGCAGGGTGGGTATGGGAGACAGTGTGTGAGGGGTGCAGAGTGTGTGTACGGGAGGCAGTGCATGTGGGCCAGTGTGTGTAGAGGGGTGCAGTGGGAGCACTGTGTGTTTGTGTGAGGGGTGTAGTGTGTGCATGGGAGTGCAGTGTGTATATGTGAGGTGCAGTGGAAGCACTGTGTGTATGGGGCCAGTGTGTGTATGAAGGTGTAGTGGTGGCAGTGTGTGTATGGGAGTGCAGTTGGGGAAGTGTGTGTATGTGGGTGCAGTGTGTGTGTGTGTGTGTGGGGTAGATGTGTATGGGGGTGTAGTGTGTGTGGGGGGAGAAGTGTGTGAGGGTGTACTGTTTGTGTGGGGGAGCACTGTGTGTGAGTGGGGGTGCAGTATGTGCAGTGTGTGTGTGGGGTGCAGTGTTTGTATGGGGAGCACTGTGTGTATGTGGGGTGCAGTGTTTGTATGGGGAGCACTGTGTGTATGTGGAGAAGTGTGTGTGGGGGTGCAGTGTTTGTATGGGGAGCACTGTGTGTATGTGGGGTGCATTGTTTGTATGGGGAGCACTGTGTCTATGTGGAGGTGTGTGTGTGTGTGTTTGGGGGGGTGCAGTGTTTGTATGGGGAGCACTGTGTGTATGTGGGATGCAGTGTTTGTATGGGGTGCAGTGTTTGTATGGGGAGCACTGT